CCAAGCACTGTAGGTATGCTGAAAAATATCCACTAATTAGACAAACAAAACTCAATTAGATTATGTTAAGTCGTGATTGTGCCAACTTCTATTTTAAATCATTTCAAACCAGTGCCTCAAGAATATACTATTCCTTCCTTTTCTGAGACTCTCCTTTCTCCTATTATGTATAAAAGATTGAAAGTCAAGTTTGAATCACCTAAACATAATTCTCAATGTATCTTCTGACGTTTTTCCTTATTTTAACTTCAGTTGTGCTGTGCGCAAACTTAACTTGTCACCAATGATCCCCAAGAAGGAAAAAAGAGAAAAACAATAAACTATTATACTATCAAGTAAACATAACTACTGTCCTTTTATTTGGAAAAGTGTTTGTGTGAATGGAGCAGCAATTTTCAGACAATACTATCTTAATGTCTTTTGCGAAAACAGAATCTTAAATCTTTTTGTAGTAAGGCTAATGCCTTTGAAAGCTAAGGTTTACGTGGTATGCAAAAGAAACAGATACAATCCATTGGCAACTTTTTCAAAAATATATGCATTAACTTGTTGAATGAATTTGCTGGAATTATTAACTTTACAACTACCTTCAATTCTGAAACATTTTAAAAGCTCCAGTTCGGGCCTTCTGTGCAACCTGTCACTTCCTGCACACCACCATTTTCAGCCACTTCTTTAGATGCCTGGAGCATAGCTCTGGAATTGTATCCCCAAACCTCTTCTTTGCTTTCCTCCTTTAAGTTTCTCCTTTACACCTACTTCTGCCCTTCCTGATATCATCTTCTCCAGCCCATGGTCATTTTTTTTTCCTGTTCAATTATGCTCCTGTGAAGCTCAAAGGATGTTTTTTTCCATTAAGGTATTATATAAATGAAATATGCTTTTACTGTGAATTGAATGAACAATAAAAAAATTTCCCTTGCTAAGGAAGATCACACTTGAGCTACTCTATGTATTAACACCACAATGAGCTCAGTAAGCTCAGAAATTACAGGATTTCACCAATTCTGGAAATTTTTGAGTCAGGAAAAGGATTAAGTCATTCATCATTGGGATATAAAACCATATGATGTATATCAGAAGTAGGTCATTTGGCCCATTGAATCCACTCTGCTGTTCAATGAAATCATGGCTGATCTGATAATCCTCAACTTCAGTTTCCTGCCTTTTCCTCATAACCCTTAATTTCCTTAATGACTGAAAATCTGCCTACTACAGCCCGAAATAGCACAGCCTCTACAGTAAATGATTCCACAGATTCAACACTGTCAGGGAGAAAAAAAAATCTCCTCATCTCTGTTATTAATGGTTGACCCTTACGCAGAGATAACGCCCTCTGGGTCTAAACTCTTCCACAAAGGCAAGCATCTATCCTGTTAAGCCCGCTAAGAATTTTACAGCTTTCAATAAAGTATTTCTCATTCTTCTAAACTGCAACCTACTCAAACTCTCCTCATAAAAGAATTTCCCCATGCCTGGTATCAACTGAGAGAATTTTGTCTGGATTGCCTCCAATTCTGGTATATATTTCTTAACTGAGATGAACGAACTCTTCATAGTTTTCCAGGTGCGATCTAACTATTGTCTTGTACAGTTTTAGAAGCCATCCCAATTTTTGTACTCCATTTCCTTTAAAACAACAGCTTAGCTTCCATTTACCTTCCCTATTTTCTGCTTGTGTGCCAGCTTGTTGCGCTAGTTTTGGAATCTCAAATTCCTCTGTGTTGCAGGTATCTGTAGTAGTTCTCCATTTAAATAACATTCAGCTACTTTAAAGATAAGTTGACTCTTACATTGACAAATCTTTGTATTTTTTCACATGCATAAGTGTATTGCCAATCATCAAAACTTCATATTGCAATGAGAAATGTATAAAAGTACGCTGTCAGTCTGTGTTATCATCCTTCTTTACTGTAATTCAAATAGCCTTAGTTGATTAAAAAAATTTATTGGGACACACATTTGAAAAACTAACTCTAACCATGTATAATTGATTGATATGCACCCTGTTCTGAATGTTCTCTCCTTCCTAGAGAGCAGTCTGTTGCTTGGACAGCACTGTAGATTTTGACTGTGATGACGTGGTTCATTCATCTAAGCATGAACGACAGTTTCAAGAAGTTGCAGGAACATATTGTGCCTTTTTTTATTGTTTCCAGATTGTATTACAAGGATTTCAAGAATTACAAGGCTTCCCACATCCAGAAAGCTTCTTTTTGTCCTCCTAGTATCCATGATATGGAGGCCTTCATCAGATGGTGAGAGGCTCATTGTTTCCGAAGGAATGTAAAATATTTGCATTGACAATGGAAGGAATCTGAGGACTCCATATTATTCATGCTGGATATGAGCTATGGAGGATATATTGCAGTAGCATGAAGGAATCTGAAGGGAATTTATGGGTGCATCAGGGCATGGGCTGGCATGGGAGGTGGTTTTGAGAGTGAAGGGGGAGATTTAGGGACCTTTAGGCACTATAACAAGCGGGGATCCTGCGTCGGAGAAGCAAGCTCAGCCTTCTAATTGATCCACCTCTGCATCACACACTCTGGCAAAACACACACATCGCAGTGCAAACCTGACTCAGGTCCGAAATAGTAAAAATGTTTTGTGCAAAGTTTTTCAGTGGATTATGGTGTGCAGGTTGTAAGCTGTAAAAATGTACAGGTTGTGTTTTCTTGAGGTCAGAGGATTTTCTTTCACAGCAGGTCTTTATATTAATAAGGTATAACGAAACTAAGGGAGAGCTTGAAAGCGCTGTAATTTTTGTTGTACAGCTGAAAAAAAAGGAGTTTTATTTAAAGGCACATTTTTGCCCTTGAAAAATGTTTTATAACCATTGCCTGACAACAAACAATTGCAATTAAGTTTCAGTTACTCAAGAAATAATTTTGTTTATTCCTTTTGGTTAATGAATACAAACTAACCATTAATAATATGGAACTGAGAGACTGCCCTGAACATTACCATTTGAAATCTGGACTTTGGACAGGAAGGTCTGATTTTAAATTTTTTTCTTCTCTGCCTATAGTGGTGGCTGTGAGTGAAAAGCACCTGGACAGTCTCAGATCAGTATTGAATTGGCATGACAAACCGCTGAAAAATAGACTGCTTTAAAGAGAGAAGTCACAAAGGAGGCTGATGTGTTAAATGTTACTTTGATTCAATTCTCTTTAACAATTCTGACAACAGCACATTATTTGAAAGCAAAGGGAAGCTTTCCGAATCACCCTGTGCCTAACCTGGGAGATCTTGATGCTGGTACTGGCTTTTTAAAAAAAAGGGCACAAATACTTTCCATTCTTTTCACGTTTATCATCTTACCTTAATGAATTCCAAGAAGCCTTCTTTAACAAAACAATGCATTGCTGCCAACCTCCTGGTATTGTCTTGATAATTCTATCTGAATTCCACCTTGAGAACATCCTTTCTTTAATGCAACAACTCATACTTTACCACACACATTATATATTTATTCAGTGACTGTTACTGAGTTTGGAATTCTTTTATAATTCTTAATGTATTGCCATCATTCACCAATATATCATTCACCAAAAATTTCTGGGACAAATTTGAACTGTAAACTAATCATTCCTCTGAGGTTGTAGACTTGCTCGCTGAGCTGGTGGGTTTGGTTGCAAACGTTTTGTCACCCTGCTAGGTAACATTGTCAGTGCCTCCGGTGAAGTGTCGGTGTTCTGTCACGCTTGTTATTTATATGCCTCGGTTTGCTGGGGTGGTTGGTATTATTTCCGGTTTTGTTTCTCAGTGGTTTGTACGCAGGGTCTAATTCAATGTGTTTGTTGATGGAGTTCCAGTTGGAATACCAACCCTCCAGGAATTCCCTGGCATGTATCTGTTTGGATTGTGCGATTAATGATGTGTTGGCCCAGTCGAATTTGTGTCCCTCGTTGTCCGCATGTAGTGAGACAAGTGAGAATTGGTCGTGTCTCTTGGTAGCCAGTTGGTGTTCGTGTATCCATATTGTCAGTTTTCTTCCAGTTTGGCCTATGTAGTGCCTCTCACAGTCCTTGCATCGTATTTTATGTATTACATTAGTTTTATTGGTTGTGGTTATGGGATCATTTACATTCATCAGTAGCTGTCATAGGGTAGTTGTCGGTTTGTGGGCAACTCTGTTACCTAGGAGTACAATAGGGATTGTGCCCAATCTGCTGTTACCTCCGAGACAGACCACAACAGGAAGACATAACACGACCAGACTCACTAATCACCCTACTGTACATCAAGGACATTTCAGAGATGACCACAGGACTACTCAGACCCCCAGGCATCAGGGTAGCCCACAAACTGACAACCACCCTACGACAGCTACTGACGAACGTAAAGAATCCCATCCCCATAACCAGCAAAACCAGGATTAGATACAAAATATCGTGCAAGGTCTGTGAGAAACATTACATAGGCCAAACTGGAAGAAAACTGACAATATGGATACACGAAAACCAACTGGCCACCAAGAGACACGAACAATTCTCACTTGTCTCACTACACACGGACAATGAGGGACACAAATTCCTCTGGGACAACACATCGATAATCGCACAATCCAAACAGAGACACGCCAGGGAATTCCTGGAGGCCTGGTATTCCAACCGGAACTCCATCAACAAATACATTGAATTAGACCCTGTGAACTAACCACTGAGAAACAAAACTGGAAGTAATACCAACCATCCCAGCCTCCCATATAAATAACAAGCAGGACAGAACACCGACGCTTCACCGAAGGCGCACTGACAATGTTACCTAGCAGGGTGACAAAACGTTTGCAACAAAATCCATTGGCTTGGCAAGAATGTCTACAACCTCATCCACAACCTGAGCTACAAACCTTCTTGAAAACTTTAATCATTCCTCTTCAACAAATTTACATATTTTTTGGTTTGTTACGCACTGTTTTTAACCTAACTGTTTTTCGTTTGGAACTTCAATTCCTACAGGTGGGGTTAGATGCCAATACCGTGTATTCCACTTACCTGTCTAGTCAAGTTGCCCTCTATTAAGTGGTACAGTGGCACTATACTGGTGATCTCCAGCAGCACAGGTGTTGGACTGGCCTGATCCTTGCCTTGACGATGGCAAAGATGGCAAATGGAGGGGCATTGCCCTTTCTCTTCGCACTCAATCTCCACGCCAGTAATTGGCTGTTCATCTGATAGCATCTGGGCACCCAGTAAACTTGAGAGATATGAAATAAATGGTATCGATTTGAGTTCCTTCTTGTTCCCCAATTCAGTTGTTTCTGAAAGTAAGAAGATGGAAAATTTAATGCAAATGAACATTATGAAGTGATCTGCAGTGCATCATTAAAAAAAAACAACAGAATGCTGGCCAGCTAAACACTTTCCATTGCAGGTACTTTTCTTTTGATTTGAATCAGTATTGTCAAATATATCTAGGTACGATGAAAATTTTTGTTTTGCATGCAGTGCAGGCAGATGATGCCATACATTAAGGTAAGAAAACAGAGTGAGGAATACAATGTTGTGGCTGCAGACAAGGTGCACAAAGAGTGAGGTCAACATTAAATTTGAAATTTGAGAAGACTATTCAACAATTCAGCACTGTGATCATCAAGGAAATCGCGCATGTTCTTGTTATGGAAGTGGAGAGATTGTAGGATGTGTATATATTTTCCTACCTCTCAACCCACCCGAGACATGTTTAAAAGAAAAAAACGTGTTTTTACCCTTGAGTGCTGACTGTATACAACAACAAAAGACTGGTTTTGTCTTAAGTTTCAAAGAAAAAGAATAAATGCCTATTTATTCACGTCAGCAACTATTCACAGTCGCACACACACACACAGAGCCAAGGAAAGGCGATAACAAAAAAACAGGCAGCGTGTAAGACATGTCAAGTGAAATCTTGAAATGATGCAGACCAGATGATTCCATTTTGTTTCATTGAAGAAATGCAGGTTGGCAGTTTCCAACAACAGATTTGTAATGACTTACTGCTCACTGCAGCAGATTTTTCACTTTGTTCCAATTGAGGTACAGACGATCCCCAGTGGTGAAGATCTAATTTACATCTTCAGGTCAGTACAAAAAGGCCAGCCTCCCTATTCTCTGTCTGTAATGTCTCAGACAACCTCTTTTCTTTGCTGGTTTAGATCTCTTCCCTCTGAGGCTCCTTGTCCCTGGTTGCTCTCAGGGTCTGTCTTAATAAATCTTCCTTATCAAAACCTGGTTTTGGTCAGGTGACCAGAGTATTTAGAATCAAAGAATTTTACAATACAGAAAGAGGTCATTGCGCCAATTGTGTTTGCATTGGTTCCTGAAAGAGCCAACAAGCTAGTCCCACTCTACAGCCTTATTTCTGTAGCCTCCTAAATTCACTACTTTCAAATATACATCCAGCTCTCTTCTGAAACCTGGTATGGAATCCTCCTCCACCACTTTCCCAGGCAGTGCATTCCAAATCTGAACAACTCACTGAGTAAAGAAATGTCTACTCCTCTCATTCTGAGTTCTCTTGCTGACAATCTTGAAACTATGACCCCTAGTTAGCGAAATAACAACTAGTAAACAGAATTTCCTTCTTTACCTTGTCAAAATTGTTCATAATTTTGAACATCCCAACAAGGTAACCTCTTAATCTTCTCTGCTCCAAGGAGAACAAGCCCAATTTCGCTAATCTTTCCTTGTATCTAAAATCCCTCATTCCTGGTATCAATTCTCGTAAATCTCCTTTGCACTCTCTCTATGGCTTTAACATCCTTCCATAAATAAGGTGTCCAGAACTGAAAAACATGAAACTCCAAAATTGATCTGAAAAATGATTTGTAGAGATGTAGCATCACTTCCTTGTTTTTATACGCTATACCTCTATTTATAAACCCAAGGATTCTATAAGATTTCTTAACAACTGTTTCAACTTGCCTGACCACTTTCAGAGAATTATGCTCTTCAACCCTGAGGTCCCTCCGCTCCTGTACTCCCCTCAAAGTTAAAGCATTAAGCCTGCATGATCTCTCCGTGTTTCTTCTATCAAAATGCATTACCTTACATTTCTCTGTATTGAAATTCATCTACCAGGTGTCTGTCCATTTGGCCAACTTGGCAAAGTCCCTCTGAAGTCACTCAGCATCATCCTTCCAATTCACTATTCTCCTTGTCTTTGAATCATCTGCAAATTTAGATATTTTACCCTCAACACTCATCTCCAAATTGTTTATATAAATTGGAAAAAGCAAGAGTCCCATCATTGATCCCTGGAGAACACCACATTCAACGTGTCTCCAGTCTGAGAAATGCCCGTATATACCTACCCTCTGTTTCCTATCTTTTTTAGCAAGCTTCTAACCCACGCTGCAAAGGACCCATCAATCCCTAATGTTTCTAACCAAACCTGCCATGTGGCACCATACCAAATGCTTTCTGGAAGTCCAAATATGCAACATCCACAGCATTAGCCTTATCCATTACACATGTCATTGTGTCAAAGAACTCAATTAAATTTGTCAGATATGACTTGACCTTGACCTTTCTCTAAGTGTATATTTATATCCTGTGTTATGGCTTCCATCAGTTTTCTGACTATTGATGTCACCTTGACAGGTCTGTAATTTCCTGGGTAATCCTTTGCCCATTTCTTAAATAATGGTGTCACATTTGCAATCCTCCAAACCCCAGAACTAAACCTCTGTTCAGAAAGGCCTGGAAAGCTTCTGTCAATGGCAGCATTCCATTATCCACAAAAATGGCCTAAGATGGCTTGGGTGTTGACACAATTTTATTTGAAAATTCCGTCTTCCATCTCCCTGTGATAGCATGAGTTTCCTCTTACACCCATTTTGTGGAATTCTGTTTAGCAATCAAGAAGTCTGCAACACCATTGTGGACTAACTTCGGCAGGTATTTGAACCATTGCAGCCATCAATCCAACAGCAGAGATCTATTGCATTTTAAGGTTTTCTAAATTAAATGTTCAAAAACTGTTTATATTTTAATGGCCTGTCCAGAAAAGCATTGAGCCTTGTGTAGTCCCATATATGTTGATGGAAAACCAATAGAGGTTACCTGATTTTCAATTCCATTTTGTTTCAAAGAAAATTGTCCGCCCTCCATTTTGTTTGAAAAGTAAAGTGACCATTTTCCATAAAGTGTATTGGCATTATACATGTCAAGTGTGCGAAACAACCAGCAGTCCAATTACAGCACTTCCATTTCAAAACTTGAATTAGCTTTGGCTTTACTGTCTCATGTACTCAAATGAGTACAGTGAAATGTTTACAAGTCACCACTCACAGCTCCAAATTGGTACAAAGATACCTAGATGACTACAAAAAGTATACAGATATGGATCTGGTTGTAGTCACGTGATGTGTTGATTGAATGAAGACTGTTTGCAGGCATATTAGCACAGAAATTAAACATTGTATGTTAAACATTTAGAACATTACGACCAGCATTCAAAATTAAACTAAACCTGCACAGGTAACTCCCCATCAAGACAGCAAAAATCAATGATTCTCAATATTAAACTATCATGTCTTCCAAGTTGATTTTATTTGACAACTTCAGCCAGAATCTATGAAAGCCTTCAGGAACTTGCACAGCACCATGTAGTGGTCAATATCAGAAACTACAACATGACAACTGATTGTAAGGTTAATCAAGAAATGTTTACATGGCAAATTAAAATAGTTATATGTTGACAGAAAAAGACGCAATTATTAACTATGATGTCAAGGTGTGGAGGAGATGGGAATCTAGGCTCGTGAGGCCAGACAGCAAGGTTGCTGGGAGGAGGTGAAGGAGGTGGGGAGTTGGGGAGTGAGATGGCAAAGGAGAAAGAGGGATTGCAAAGAGAGGAGAGAGGCTGCATAGAAGAAGAGGAACTGTAAACATGACAGAGGAGCTGTAAAAGTGGAGATCAGGCTGCATGGGGTCATGGGCTGCAAAGTGGGAGGGAATAGTTTTAAACCTTTCAACAAAAAAGACTCAGTTAACTGGGAATCAGAATAACCTGAAGACCCCTAGGTAATCAATTCGTTCAAATTAATGTGTGGCTAACTCTTACCACATTTCGATAAAGAGATATTTTTGTCAAATTTCATGCACGGTCTCTCCCCCTGAGGCAAAGTGAGATTGAGCACACAATTGCCCCAAACTCGTCTCGTTAATTATCTACCGTGCCCTTATGGTGCCCCTCTTGTCTGATTTTAGCTCAATTCTCCACTTGCCTTCATCAGAATCACTGCCAGGATATCCCAGAACTGCTGGTGGCTTTAAAAGGCTGTTGCACACCAGTCAAGAACTGTCAGTTTGGATCTGCACGGCATGGTTTGGGGGTATTTGCCCCAGAAATGCTAGAAATGGGGAAATTGGTGCTGAAGGCCCTGCTAGATGAGATGGTGCTGGCAGTTATAATCCCTTAAATCCTCTTCCATTGGCAGCAGATACAAAAGTTTAAACACACGTACCAACAGGTTCAAGAACAGCTTCTTCCCTGCTGTTATCAGACTTCTGAATGGACCTCTCAAATTTCAAATCAAAGCATGAAAAGGCTGGGTAGGGCTGCTAACAGAATCCAGGTATGCATTAAGTGCGTGAGAATTAATAAATTAAGTGTGCAATTCTGAGGGGCAGTCATGGAGAAAGCCACAAGCTCGGTGTGTTTCCCATAGCTGGCTGCTATCCATAATCTCCTTTCATAGAACATAGAACAGTACCGCACAGTACAGGCCCTTCAGCCCACGATGTTGTGCCGAACTTTTACCCTAATCCTAAAATCTATCTAACTTCCACCGCTACCTTATACTATCATCCATATGCCTATCTAATAGCCACTTAAATGCCCCTAATGAGGCCGACTCCACTACCCTCTCCGGCAATGCATTCCACGCCCCTACCACTCTCTGAGTAAAGAACCTACCTCTGACGTCTCCCCTATATCCACCTCCACTCACTTTAAAACTATGCCCCCTCGTAATAGCTATCTCCACCCGAGGAAAAAGTCTCTGGCTGTCCACTCTATCTATACCTCTGACCATTTTGTACACCAACCCCTTTCATATCTCCAACCCCTTTCATATCTCTTTCTCTCTCTCTCTCTCTGGGCTCCATTCCACCTTCCAACTCATGTCTCCCCAACCACCCACACCCTCCACTTTGGCTTCAGCATAAACACCACTGTTTGTTAGCTATTAATAGTTCTAATGACAAATCACTGGAATCAAAACATTCATTCTGTTTTCTGCCCATAGATGTTGCCAGACCTGCAGAATTTCTGTAG